ATGAAAAACTAATTTTTCCAAGATCCAAGAGATCCAACAAAGACAACGCCGCAAAAGTTGCACTACCGCTTTTGTGTTTCGCCACCAATTTTTTGGTTGTGGCGCTTTTGAGATTGCCGCCGTGGCGCCAGTGGCGCCAGGCGCAGTATCCATGGTGATCCGGGGATATCCCAACTTTTGTGGTGCAGCTTTGGTGGTGTCGCAAAAGCGCCATGCATGTGTGACCGGCGCCTAAGGGGTTGGAGTCTGTGAGGGTGTAGGTATGTGTGTGTGGGGGGGGGGGCTGTGAGGTCAGGGGGGGGGGGGGCTGTGAGAGTGTTTAGGGTATGGTGGTATGTGTGTGTTGGTGATAACTACAGTTTCCTCCAACGAAAAACTCCTATTTTTGTCGTTATCCAATTTCTTGTCGTGTGTATCTTGTTCTCTCTATTGCTAGTGTGTGCGTACACGTATGTTAACGTTCAGATCTGTGTGGTGTCTTTGTCAGCGATGTGTGTGAATCTGGCAAACCATTCTGTTGATTCCCCTCATTCAGTTGTTGGCTATCAGATACCAGTGGGCAGTGTAGTCAGCAGTGTAGTCGATAGTGTCGGCTGTCAACCCTGTGCACTCACTGAACTGACTATGTGGTTTGTTATGTGTCCAGCAGAGAAGAAAATTGAGAAGATAGTGTTGTCATTAGACGTTGGTAAGGGATAAACTGTTCAGTGATTATAATTGACTTTCAACAGAGAACACATCTCAAACGATGTTGTTCTTGGCATTGTCGTCATCGCTGTCATCTTAGTCATCACCACTGCTTTTTTCATCCTGTGATCAAGATTGATTTTTCAAAGTATTAAAATGTGGTATTCACTTGGAACAGTTAGTCATAACTCGTAACATTTTGTTGTCCTTTTTTCACCATAATGTGGTAATTCCTGTTGTTCTTTCACTTGCTGAAATTAACTCAATGCTGTTGTGTTCTCGTCTCTTGTGTTTCGTCTCCATGAACAATTGTCATGAAGACTGAAGAAGTGTGACAGCAGCTGTGACGGGCAAGCCTAGTCTGCATAGCCACAACGGGTGACGTCTACCACTCGTGTGTGTGTGTGTGTGCGTGCGCGCACGTCTGTGTTTAGATGCATGGCATTTTCGGAAATTAGTAAACGGACTTCTCGTTGATAATTTGCTTCTTGGTTCTTGCAATATCTGATGGATGTGATCCATACATTCTATTCGCCATGCTCTTTACAACTACAAGTAAATTTCGTGAATAATT